TCCGCTTGCAACGGGAAATCATTCTACAAGCAGTGCGCCGCCCTGAAGCTGCGCAAATCGATCAAGCAGTGTTCCTTGAGTAAGCGATCAAGCGGTGTGTAGCTGGTCCGCAAGCAGTGCTCTTGGTTGATTTTTCAACTTGACAAACGCTGATCAAGCAGTTCATAGAGTAAACCTGAAGTAAACCAAGGCAACCAAGTGACTCAGAATACAATGAAACTTTTAATTTCTGAACAGTTTCCAGTTTGCATCGACTCCGCAGTTGCACAGTCCTCAAAGCCATGCAAATTGAGGCTTCCTTTCGCTCTCATTCCGATAATTATGCCGTGATCCGAATCGGCTGACTGCCTCCTGCCCCTGTTGCTGCTTGTGCACTGTACACATTTGCATAAGGGCCAACCCCAATGCCATTCCCCTTTCCCTTTCGCCATCCGTCTTCTGCTTTGTACATAAGTTTTCAAAGTTGTCTGTCTGCAGCATCAGCATGTTTCAAGGCCCTCTCGCCTGTGCACTCATTGAATGTTATGGAAGTCATTTGCATATTTGTTGTTTATGTTGAAAACAAGATTTCGTTATTAACTTTGCTTAATTTGTTTGCCGATGAAAATGGAAATGAAAACGAGAGCGAGCACTAGAGAGAGTGAGATAACTGCGGGAAACGAAAGCGAATTGAGCCATCGAAGAAGCAGAAAAAAAACAAGGAAAGGAAAATGCTGTTGACCGAAGCGGTTTCCTCGCCTCAATGGATTTTGGATTTGTTTACTCTCATCCCTTGGGTTAAGGGCTCTTATTAATTGCAATTTGGATTGTGCACCCCCAAGCCCCCAGACCGCAACCCCAAAACTCAATCCCATCATCATTCCAGACAACTCCTTGAGCAGCAAAACGAGAGCAACAAAGAGCCCGGGACCAAGAGGAAGCCATAAATAATGCCAAGTACTGTCTGCTTTCGCTCCGACTGCACGACTGTCCGTCCCAAAACGGAGTGGACAAGAAATTTGTGTTCCACTTAATTGCTGTGGAATGGGGACGAGCATAAGGCCAGGAAGGTCTGGATTGGGTTGGGTTGGGTTGGGTTGGGTTGGGTGATGGCATGCCAGATAAGATTGCGAATGAAATGTTCAAGTGGAAATTTTAGTTTGCATAAATTATGCGGCAAACGTGAAGACTGACCCCAAGTCAAGATACATTTACCCGCTGCCATCTTAGTCGAGAAAGGAAAGCATTTAAACGTATAACCAATCCTTGCATTAATTTGTCTTATCCATCGATAATTGTACAATGAATCCTTCATTTAGATATATGTAAAATCACATGTGCATTGACAAATACATTCCTAAGGGTACAATTTGTTCAAGGAACACTTTCGCATAACCCGTTGAGGGTATTACAGACATCGACTTGTGAATGTTCTTTTGATTATGGCTTGGGTTCGGGTGTCTTCCTCTGTTCAGACCACTTGTATCATATTATCCATCTGACTCTCTCTCTCTCTCTCTGTCTCTCTCTTCCCTCTCCGTTCTCTCTCTCTCTCTTGCTGACACACTTGTCTGTCCGTGGGGCCTGTCTCGACGCCCGTCCTGTACCCATTGCCCTCTTGAGTTGGGTCGCATTCGACATTCGACTTTCCCTTTTCCCTTTTCGCCGTTTCGTCGAGTGCTTTTTGTTTCGATTGGGCTTGGTTCTGCACATTCGCGCACATCCGCATACATCCGCACACATCCGCATGTCGGATGTTGCTTTGTTTGTCGAACTAACTGGCGTTTCCGTATGCTGGCCTGCCGTGGCGTCCGTCCACCTGCTCCTGGACTCCATTTTGCGGCTCATTGTGATTGGATCAGATTCGTTCTTGGTCGCCTCCACACTCTGCTAATTGTCGGGCTAGGAGCATCATCATCAGCATCGCTTGTATTATCATGATCGTTATCATCATCATAAGCTGGAAACCAATTTCCGCTCATCCAAAGCAATAAAACTTTAGCCTCAGCAGCAGATCCACTCCGATGCCGAAGTTCAGGCCAAAAACTTCAGGCGCCTGGACTTGAACTGCAGGCTGCAAAAACGGCCTCAGATAATGGCCGCATGGGCATGCAACAAGAAAAAGCATGCAACAGTGGAGCAGCAGCAGCAGCAGCAGCAGCAGCAGCAACCCTGAAAAACTTTTGACCAGAGCAAAAAGTTGATTTCCAAGTAACCCCACGACGCGACGTCCTGCTCTTGGACTTGTCGAAGATTCCGCAAAAACTTGCAGCATACACTGCGGCATGCCCCCGACAAAAAAGGAGAGAAAGAGGCAACCAACAACCAACCAAAACCAAAATAAATGGTTGCCAAAAGGGTGGTGGGTGGGTGGTTGGTCTGGGAAAAAAAAACTTTGCCGACTTTTGCGGAAGAAAGTAAAAACGATGCCTCCACTCGCACTGACAGTCCACTGTCAAAACTTTTTTGATTATCTTAATTGCGATTACGGGACCCTCAGCAAAACCGCCTAAAAAAAAAAGATCCCCAAGAAAATCGAGCCAACAACAACAAAAAAGGAGAAGGAAGTAGAAACCCACCCAATATGCGTGCGTAACCCCAAACGGAGAGCGGCGGACAGACAGACAGTCAAATAGTCGGGAGACTACAATATACAATCGAGGAGGGAGTACACCAAGGGCTGGGGTAAGTGTCTGGAAAGAAAGCAGACAGACAGACAGACAGACAGATAGAAAGCGGGGTGAAATTAACAAGATTGAGCCCCATCTCCCCCCCAGCCACAACTTGGGCTGTGTGTATCTTTGTATCTGTAACTGTGGCAGGCAATGAAAGAAAATTGGGCTATCAAATGGAGGAAAAACGGGCAACCGCTTGGCTCAAGGATGGAAAAGTTTATCTTTTTTTTGGGGACGTTTCCTTCAGCTCAGTGGACAAAAGTCCACTGCAATTACACTCGATTCCCCAGTCCCCCAAAGGACCACCGCCGATAATCACAATTCGAAAATAATAATAATAATAGTTTTCTTTGGACTTTTTTCTTTTGATTAGCGCTGTGGCACACTGGGAGCTGGGACACACTCACGCGCATGCATGGATCTCTTTGAATGGTGAACGATGGTGGGGGAGGGAGGGAGGCCTAAAAGTATTCTCCATAAAGCCAATCGGCAGATCAGTATGAGCAAAATAAGCTGCTATTGATATTAGAAGTGAAAGCAAGTGGCGCCGCAAAGCTTGCACTGGATTTTAATTGCTCTCAGCCGGCACTCGGCTCAATGGCCAAATCAACATTTCATGCCATGCCATAGGCGCCCCATGCCCATGCCCCATGCTGCTGCTTTCATGCTCGCTCATAAAGTGCCTCAATTGAGTCAGCCAGCGGAAATATTTGCACGCACACACACAAACAAAGATACAGATACTTTTACGAAAATAGAGATAGAAAGAGAGAGAGAGAGGAAGAGCCAAGAGCAAGAGCAAGAGAGGTGGAGGAGAGGTGAGTGCTCACAAAACCATGAAATGCTTTCGGGCCACAAAATTTTGTGCTGCTTCAGCATCAAATCAACAAACGAATATAAACCAAAACTCGAATTATTATTATGATTACTATGAGTATTAGCTGTGGGCCACATACAGACATATATTTATACATATGTATCTATACATACACCTATGTACATATGTGGCAGTGCATATTGGGCCAGATGTGTCTGGTTTGGCAGTGCGTTTTGTGTGCACTCTGCTGGATTTTGTACCCTTTTAATTTTTTGCCTCAACCTTGGAATAGTTTGGCCTTGACCAGTGGTTTGCCAGCGAAGTGTTCTCCAGCTGCAGCAACTTCATAGCTGCCACTTGCCACAATTTCCAGGGGTATGTTAAGCCTCGACCCTCAAAGCGAGTTTTTCTTTTACGCTTTTTTCCCGCTTGTGTTTGTGCAAATTTTGCACTAGCTTCTCCTACAGCGAAGCGGTTGGGGGGCTGGCTGGTGTTGGGAAAGCATTTTCATGTCATGGCATCGACAGAGCAGCGAATGAGCCGCAAACATAAATGCAGCTCAAACAACCAGCTGCGCCAAGCACACGCACACATGAGGCATGCAAAATCTGTGCGAGGGGGTTCCATTCCATTCGTTCCAATATCACAACAAGTAGGCGAGAAACGGAATTGAGTTACAAGCTTTCAGGCACGGAATGGAATCGAGCTGCTAAGCAAGGAATGGAGTGGAATGGTATCGTTAGCAATGTGTTCTTTTATGGAAAGTTTAGAGCGGAACCTGGTGGCAGTGGAGTTCAGAGAGTCATTGACTCACGGTAGAGCTCTGAAGATATCCCAATGCTTAGCGGTAGTTCGAATGGATGATCGCATGCCACGCCATGCCGCAGACTCACCTCTGGCTGAACGAGCGAGAGAAATGACAGGATAAACCACTTTGCGCCGGGCGGGGCCGGGCCGGGCTAGACCAGAGGCCGACTCTCGCCATGCCCCAACGCTTTATGCAAATAATGGGCGCAATATGTCATTGGGTTGCCGCCTGCCGAGCCACCGACTGACAGCTCAGATGAAGTGTCGCTGACAGAACGCGAATGCGGCTGTGGCTGCGGCTGCGACTGCGGATACGGATGCCAGAATCGGTATGTGGCATGATGGATCAAACAGGCAGATACTCCCAACCACATATGTACATACGTATCTACTGTATGTACAATATGTACATTCGGAGCATCCACAGCACATGGATGTGTGAACATAAAATGTATAAAATATTGGCTGTCTACACGAATGCTAGGCATGAGGGCAAGACACCAAACCGAACAGATCCGGGGAATTCAATTTATATGCAAATTATATGCAAGGCATCAGAAGCAAAAACCTCGAAACGAAGTATACCGGTCCCCAACCCCAACCAAAATTCAGGACGGAGAGCTCTCGAAGCAGAGCCGAAAAGTGACTGTAAGTGTAACTGGAGGGCCGTTCGACTATGGGGATTTTAATTATATTTATTATTAAAAATGTAATTATGTAAAAAGAAAGCAAGCGCACACGCACACACACTGACAATAAATACATATTCAATCCAATTAGTAAGACTCAAAGCTCAAGACTCATCGCTCAGGTGAAGTATCGTATGCCCTCGGCGGAGTCGTCCCTCACATCATAGCTCGATGGACGGTACACGGTGGGCTCCTTACTGTTTCCATAGCTCTTCTTGCAGGGCCTTTCAGTTGCCTCCTCGGACTCGGCTGGGTACGGCTCGGTGTACTCCTCCTCCTCTTCCTGCTCCTCCTCCTCGGGATAGCCCAGAGTGGTCTGCTCTGTCTCCTCTTCGGGGTAGCCGTAGCAACAGGGTCTACGCGTTGGCTTGCGCTTTTTGCTGGCCTTATTGGCCAGCTTGTCCAGCTTGTTCTCTTTCTTGGTCTCGAAGAAGCTGAGCTCCTTCTCCTTCTTCTCCTCCCACCACTGCTTAAACTTCTCCCACTCGTCCAGCTTCTTCTCCTTCTTGGCATCCTCCTTTTCGCTGAACAAATTGAGGAAATCAAGCTTCTTCAGCAGCTCCTTCTCCTTCTTGCCCTCCAGCCAGCTCAGTTCCTTCTCCTTCTTCTCCTCCAGCTTCTCCACGAGACTCTCCAGCTTCGGCAGCTTCACCAGCCACCCATGGCAGGTCTGCAGTGCTACAAGAAGGCGCAAAGAGCAATGAGATATTGTCGCGTATCCGTAGCGTCCCTGTGCCACTTACCTACGAAGGCCACCAGCAGCAGCATCAGTTGTTGGCCAAATCTAAGCATGTTCTCTTGGATCTCACTCGCTCCGTTTCGACTTCTGTCTGGTCCAAGCCAATGTCTTGGCTACTTATAACCCGAAAGAACAACCGAACCTGCCGACCACAGCACTGTAGCTCCGAGCACGTGCCCAACATATGATAAGCACGTGCATTCGTTCGGCAATCTGTCAAGCTCGCGGCATATTTGGGGACTGCCATGATACCCGTCGTACCCAAAGTCGTACAGGGCTCGGTTCAATGCACTGACCTCAGACCCATAGCCATACCCATACCCATACCCATACCCATACCCTGGCTTCAGGATTGTCTCTGGATTCTGTTAGGATTCTGTTATCCTTTGGACTCCTCTGGAAACTCTCTGGGTTTTCTCAGAGTTATTTCTACGTTCTCTTTGGGTTCATCTGGATTCTTTCTCTATGGGTCTTTTGTGACGTCCCGTTGGGTGCTGCAAGCATCCTCTTTGCCTTCCACTGGTGACTTATGCCACGCTCTTGGTTTCCCCTCTGGAGTCTCACTGTATTCTCTATGGCTTCACCCTATCTTCTCGCTGGCCTCCCCCCTGACCAGCTGTCACTCTGATTAGTCAGTGCATTATTCCTAATGTGGGGTCGACAGGGCCAGGGACTTTTGGCCACATTTGCCAAGATTTGTAACCCTGGACTTCAGAGCAGTCGCTACTAATTGACTTGGCTGTGGGTCATTATCATGGCTAGAGTGGTTGTCCGGCTTAGGACATGAATGGCATGTGTTGAAAGTGGAAGTTAAATTGTATTTGCTTAGTGCGCCTCGTGCACACGCGAATCGCTGAAGGTGGCGGTGGGGTGTGTCAGGAGCCAGCGACAGGGACAGGGCCAGGAGTCCTGTGTGTTTTTGTGTGGGTGTTAGTGTTGAACAAACAGTTTGCTAAATTAATTGCACACCAACTGTTTATTCGTCTGTTTCTCCGTTTGTTTTATGAGTTTTTCCTCCCTCCGTCGACTGATGCTCGCTCCCCGCACTCACTTTCTCTCTCTCAATGGTTGTTCCTTGTTAGGTGCAGGTGAGCCTTGTTACTTGGCACTCGTTACTGTTCCATTTTACTCGCTACTTGATTTTTATTTGCTATTTTTTCTTGCATCCCTTTCATACATGACGAAGGTGGAAACATTTATGGTTCATAGTAGCAGTTGTTCACTGTACTGAGCTCTGCTCTCATCGCACCATTAGTGATCTCGCTTTTGTCACGCTCATTGATAGTGCGAGTTAGTCCGGCTGCTTTATGGCATTTCTAGTCGCAGTTTCTAAGTGTTTCTCCATCGATTCCCCCCCCGAGTTTCTTAACTTAACGACACAGAAAAGCGAAGAGCTAAAATATTCGTGTAATTAATATCAAAATATACATGCAAAAATAACAACTTTTGAAAAGTTTCCTCAGTCTCGTTGTCCCACTATTGGGAAATGCGCACATTGTGGATGTTGCCCAGATCGAGGGGCAGACCAGGCTGCGGCTCCAGCACGCTATTGGCCAGAACATCATCGTACTCCTCGCTCAGATCACTGCTGATCGTGGTGGTTCTTGCTGTGGTGGTTGTAGTGGTGGTCGTATTCGCAGGACCCTCGGTTGTGGTTGTGCGGCGACGCGGCTTCCTGCCCCTGCGGCCACCCCGACGACCCTTGCGCAGTCTACGCGACTGTGTGCCGAACGAGTTCGTCCTGCCGTAAAGGATGCCAGGGTATGGTTCCATTGTGTACACGGTGTAGGCCAGCGGTGTGGTGCTTGTTGTGCTCGTCGAGCTCGTGGTACTCGTTGTTACACGGGTACTCGTTGTTGTATCTGCTGCAGTCGTTGAATCTGTTGCACTCGTTGTGTCTGTACTGTTTGAAGCTTCTGTGGTTATCGATGACTGTGTGCTTGTTGTGGGTTGTTGTGTGGTTGTTGTTGTTGTTCGTTCTGTTGTTATAAGCGCCTCTGTGGTTGTGCTCGGCGGTGTGGTTGTGGTTGTGGTTCGTTCTGTGGTTATGAGTGGTTCTGTGGTTGTGATCGGCAGTGTTGTTGTAGTTGTGTCTTGTGTGGCTGTGGTTGTATCTGGTGCGATGGTTGTAGTTGTGTTCGGTGCGATGGTTGTGGTTGTGTCTGGTGCGATGGTTGTGGTTGTGTTCGGCTCGATGGTTGTGGTTGTATCTGGTGTGATGGTTGTTGTTGCTGTGTTTGCTGCGATGGTTGTAGTTGTGTCTTGTGTGGCTGTTGTTGTGGTTTCTGTCGGCAGTGTGGTTGAAGTGTCATTTACAGTGTTTGCCGTTGTTGTTGTCAGAGTTGTGGCTGTGGATGATGCTTGTGTGGTGGATGTGGTTGAAGTGACTGTTGTTGTTGTTGTTGAGGACGTGTCAGATGTTTCGGTGGTGATAGCAGGCTCCGTGGTTGTCCCTGACGGGTCTAGTGTGGTGGTCTCAGTGTCTGCAGCGGCTTCGGCAGCTGCAATCACCTCACTAATATTGATCGTGATCGTCTCGTTGATGCGCGTCCCGTTTGTCGTCTGCAGCGTGTTGTTCGAGCTGACAATCGTGGCCAGAAACGTGGAGTTCTGGGCAGCACACAGCTGACAGGCTGTGGGGGAAGAAGACACCATCAGATTTCGGATCGCAATGGTGGCAATCAATTAGCTGAAGCACACGCACGGCGGCCACTAATTACCTAATGTTGTCACCACAACGAGTGCAATTAAATGTCTACGTGTCACCGGCATCGTCAGAGTGTGCTTGAAGTCTATTCCCGTCGAACAGTTTTCCGTTTCGTTTCCTTAATTAGCCTGCGGGTTCGGTGGGGTTTGGGGACTGCTGCTGCTGCCGTCTCTCGTGTGTGTCTTAGGGTGTAGTGCTCTATAAATTTGGTTAATTGAACTGATTTTCAGAGTCCGCATCTCGTTCATTTTTATATTGATGCCAACACACAAGCCACGTCCGGAAACGTGTGGTCCGTACGTGCGATTCCCGATTAACTTATCATGTCTTTTCCCCCCTTCCCGATGCCAATCTACCAATTGTCGATGCTGCTGCCACAAAGCTCCCACTCTCTCAATCTTCGCTTACTCTTCATCTCCATCTTCACTCACTCTTGCTCTCGTTGATGACGTTTTGGCCAGCCGTCCAGCTGATGCCGGAAGCTGCATTCACTTGTTGCCCTAGTTTGCATATGTCTGCTTGGCGGTTGATTGCCCCGGCCCCCTATGTCTATCTGTCTATCTGTCTATCTGTCTGCCGGATGCATTTGCACATTTGCATTCGATTGGACCGCTGTACGGTTCAGTCACGTAAACTTGGCCAACATCTAGAGCAGAATATACAAAAAAAAACATTTCGATTGCTCAATGTACCAGAGGCAGCGGCAGACCCATCTATCTTCAAGGGAATAGAGTTCCCTGATGGTCCCGAAAAGCATAATTTTGTTCAGTTAAGAGCCTGTTCCTGCAAATTGTTGTAAAGCTAAAAATTTAGCTGTTATTAAGTGTTGTGTTTCCATTTTGTTCAACATAAATCAGTTCTACAAAATGAACGAAATCTTTACTACCCATTTTTAGCCACTTTCTGCATAGAATCTTCACTGAGTGTGACGGAAAGAAACCCAAAAAAAAAATATAAACTTGTATGATAAATAACCTAACTTAAAATTCAACATTTTTTAATCCTTTTTGCATACAGTCAAAAAATTTAATGTACTTTGTTACGCGAATTTACATTGGTTTCCATAAAGCTTAAATGGTTTTTGAGCCTGTGTCACAAAATTGAACAAATCTGCGAATTGAGTCATTTCCATCTGCACAACACTGAAATAAGACAAATTCAAATTGTATTTGCATGTTTTTAATGTGTAAACCATTACCGTTTTGTTGTATTAAGTCAGCAGAAGCGCAATTACGAGATTATGAGGTAATACAGGGTCCAGGCCGTGTTTGGGAAAATAGTCAAACATTTTGTATTTGATAGTTCAACATTTTACAAAGACTTTGCAGCTGGACAAACTTGCTTATGGGAGACAATAAAAATAATTAAAAATATGAATCGCACAAAAAAATCAACAAATTTTAATGGTTGTCCACAGCAAAGTTAATTAAGTTAAATTTGGTTAATTTTCAATATATGTACGACAATGGTTTTTTTTACTTTAAATGTTTTTTTGTTTTGGCATGTACATTTAGTGGGAAACGTATACATAGATCCACCTTGCGCAAAACAATAGCAATTAAAAGTGCAACTTTTCCTCATTAAGCCCCCCATTAATGTCCTTAATTGCAAAAAAAAAGAAGGAAGGAACAAAATCGGCAGTCCGTCAGATATTATGGCAACCGATTAGCTGGGATAACTAGCGACAAATGTGATGGAAATGGTTTAAATGTCGCCCATAAAAAAAGACAGAGAGTTTTAATTAAGTATTTACATGACGTTCCTCCCCTCACCGCCTCCTCATTGACCACTAAAATCGGAAAACTATAATTATTTAATGTGAACGTAAACGTGACGAGAGCTTAATGAGTATTGTAATGAAAGCAAAGCCACAAAAGAGAGACAGAGAGCGTGGGGGGTGTTGATGGAGAGTGAGAGTAAAAAAATAGACAGTTCAGTGAGCTGTAGAGCTGCACTTGTAAAAAGGAAGAGCTAACACCTCTATGGAATTGATGCAACGAAATACTTTAATGTTTTTACAGTCCAGATCTGGCCTCTGACGTATGTGGGAGAGCCTACCCCCTTGCGCCGACCATGCCCCACACACATAATAAGCCATAGAGCACGCTCTCCAGATTTGTCGGGTGTCGTACGTGCTCTAAGCGGTCCGACAGTTCTACAGCGAATGGGTATAAAAGCGGCTGGCTGTTCTTTCAGCTAACAAACAGTTCGATAACTTCATTCGGTCTCAACATGTTCAACAAAACGATCCTCGCAGCCCTCATCCTGTGCGGTGAGTAGCACGAAAATATTTCATTGAAATCCGGCTAAAATTTCCCTTCAACTTGCAGCCTGCTACCTGAGCGCCATCCAAGCTCGTCCCCAACTGGATCTGGTCCAACCAGTCGTGGGAGGAGTTGCTCAAGGAGCCACCCAAGGAGCACTGGGCACACCTCTTGCACTGGTCACCGGGCTGGCCAAGACCGCTACTGGGGGTGCTGGCGGTTCCCTCCCACTGCCCGGACTCTCGCAGATTCCTCTCGGTGGATAAAGTCAACATACAAACTTTAAATAATTCTGCACTTAATGCATAAATCTGTCAATTTCTCTGAGCAACATTTTGTGTAACTATTTTGTACTAGAAACTGTGTACATTTTGAAATTAAATGAATTATATTGAGCATTGAACATATATATTTGTGGAATTATTCATGGGGGCTGGGTTTATTTAGCTTCAAGAAAATTAAGAAAGAGCCGAATCAGAATGTTTTGTTTATTGTTTATTTTTTTAAACATGCAAGAAATTCCAAAAGTTCCACTAAAAGTTGTTGAAATAGGTTCCAATATTTGTGGATGTCGAAATTCTAGAGACTGAAATGCATGTCTGATCTCTCCGCAGGCCCAATTCCAATTGAAGGCCCATCAATTCTTGCCTCAAACCCTATCTATGCTACGTGTACTGGCCAAAGCCTGACACGCACGTAGGACCTCATATGGATTATGGATTCGCGACTATTTATGGAAGGCCACTGCCTGCGTAGAGCTCAGTTTACGCTGCAAGTATGTCCGGCCAAGTAGTAGTTACGCTCATGGCTGCGCTCTGTGGTAAGTGCTCGGTTCTTTGTGTGGCCAGGAGTTCACTATTTTTAGCCTTTAACCTTTGTGCAGTGCTTTTGCCGTTGGCCTGGTGCATGCCCAGCCATACTACGCGGCCGGAGGCAGCGATGACTCGTCGTGAGATCATTAAGGACTTTGTGGCCAGAGTGCAGGCCCTGATAATCGAATTGATAGAGAAACTAAAGGCGCTCAGTGCCCTCAGCTAGCAGACACAGTACAAATAAAGGACATGGATAAATATACACTGTGTAAAAAAAAGAAAATCCATAATAAAGTGGGAGAAAAACGTTGAAGGAAGTGAAGTGTTCCCATGATGGATAATCAAGCGCTCGTCCGCGGCTAATGAACATCCCTTTAGTGCTGTTTGGGGTTACCCCAAATGTGTCCTGGGTCACCATTCCGCCTGTGCCATTGCGGTGACTGTACTTTGTTCAATGGAGGTCAAATGCCAACCGGGGATAGCCCCAAAATTATGCCACAACCAAAAACACACGCACACACACACACACACACACACACACACACACACACACACACACGAGAGAAAAGTGTGTGTTGGGTGGGAAAATCTTAACGAAATTTCTCACGTTTGCCATAATTACGAGCAAAATACGTGACATGTGTGTTGACGGTGATATTTACCATCAGGGCCCTGCTCTGTGGTGCGGTTTAACTTTGGGTTAGCTAACAGCCACGCCCCCCAATATACGTAGCGGAGTGGAGCGTAGCTGGTGCCGAGTTGTAAATGGTAATAATACCAATAAAAATCTGTGTACAACCACCCCTCGACCTAGAGCCTCAACCCGAAAGCTAGAGCTCAACATCAATGCGATCTAACGATGTAATTCATAAAAATCTCTTGAACAAATGTTTGTGACTCCTGGTCCGTGACTCGAGGCCAGTGTTAGAGTTAGAGCGAGAGTGAGACTGAGAGCGAGTCACCGCATTAATAATGGTCTGGGGATTGCGATTGCGATTGCGGGCCTGTGTGTGTTGTGGTGCCTTTTTCCATATCCTTTTGAATAATTCAGGCAGAGCTGAATCTTGGTTGGGTTTGCTGCTTCTTAAAGTGAACTTTTGGCAGTCGCCAAAGACGGAGAGATAGAGGGAGAGAGTGCGTGGCGTGATTGAATTGCTGCCTGATTGACAGTTGACAGTTGAAATTGATTTGGCTGCGAATATGTCATGCGGCACTCCATGATGCTGCACGGTGGTTGAAACAATCCATACCCATCCATCCATCCATCCAGCTATCCCATCCATCTAGCCATCGATTGAAGGCAGAAGCCAGAATCAGAAAGCTTCGAGATCTGCTGCGCAAACAGCAACATTTATTAATCCCACAAGTGCAGGCGTGCATAAGTATCGGGCAAATGGATTAGAAATTTTTATGTGCACTTGGGTATCGACATTTGGTGTTGCCGATGTGCGGATGTTTTCAAAAGGATTTCTGACTGACTGGCACACCCAACAGGAACCCAAAAACTCTCCCCTACCCCATGGCCCACCATCCAAGGTTACCTCAAATCTTTTGCTATTTAATTAAGTTGGATGGACCACGCCCGCCCATGGGGTTGGGGAGTGTCTGGGTGGTGAGTGCTAGCATATGGACCTCCATCCACCATCAACCCATCCTCTCATTCGACTTGCATCCATCCACACACTGCCATTTGCTGCCATACTTGTGTGACAGTTAATGAACTTCTGTCACTCGCTCGTGGCAGGGCGCCGCCCCTCTTTGTTCTTCGCTAATCAAAGATACTCCCGGACAAGCGGCACTCTCGTCCTCCGTGCTGGGTATGTGAGCAGCATTTCGATGCGGTGACTTGACTGGGGATGCAGTCAATTAATTGATGGATGATGTGCATAATGAAAAGCGAAGCGCCACAATTGTGCTGGGAGTGTCAACTTTTATTAAAAACTTCCAGTGGCCAAACAAAAAGGAGAAACTTTTGGGGCTCTTAAGATCATCTTTGGCCTGTTCCTTGTTCAACAAAGTCTACTCCTTCTCAGCAGTTGGAGCTCTGTTCATTCTGATTCAGTTTCAGTTTCAGTTTCAGTTACAGCTTCAATGTCAGTTGAAGTTTCAAGTGAGCGAGTCGCAGGATATATGCACATATGT